GGCTGCTCAGCTCGGGCTGGACTCGAACCGCTGTTGCTCAGAGCTCAAACTCTTGAGCGAGCTCTTAACCAACTGAGCCACTTGGCCAGCGTGGTTTATTTTAAAAGTAGCTTAAAAGGCTGAATAATGCAACCTATATGAAGCCATTAACAAATACAACAAAAACACTCCTCTGTATATGGCATTTATTAATATTTATAATGCTAAGTCAATAGCTAAGCTGTTCCCATTCGATAGTCCTTGCAGCCCTTTTCCATTTAGGCAGAGGGACAAGGCAGAGACCAAATGAAGTCCTGCTGAGCTTCTTCTATGGTGACGGGGAGACGAGGATCCTGTCAGTCCAAATAGCAATTATAAGGTGAACCCTCAATTTGTATACAGAAAAATTCAGACTATATTCCAGGCTAGCTAGTTCTCTTGTAAACTGTTAAGGAAAGTAAGAACTCTGAAGGTTAACTGAGTAATTTACAAGAAATGCAATGGTGTTTGTCACTTACTGGCAAAAAGCACCCCAAAGTGAAGCAGAAAATACGTATATCAGCTCTCAGCAGGAAAGAAGACAATATATGAAGAAAATGAAAGTTAAGGTGAAGATGAAAGCTGTATTTTACCTTATCACCAAGGTGGCTGAGGTCATTAACAAAAGGAAAGTCATTTTTACAAATGAACGTTTTCCACTATGGACTCCATTTTGTAAAATGACAGCGACATTTGGCTATCGCCACCTTGTGGTATTTAAGAGGAAGTGTAGGAGGTGGAAAGATTCATGAAGGTATTACAATAGATCAGTATCATTTTACTTGCTTAGTGTCCCCTCCCCCCGCAATCTTTTTTGTTTTTGTTTAGGTGAGATTTAATGAGCTATAATTCATTACAATAAAATTCACCAATTTTAAGTGCATACAGTCATGTGCCACTTAACGATGGGGTATGTTTTGAGAAATGCGTCATTAGGTGAATTTCATTGTTGTGCGAACATCGCAGAGCACACTTACACAAACCTAGATGGTCTAGCCTACTGCACACCGTGGCTGCACGGTCTAGCCTACTGCTCCTAGGCTGCAAACCTGGGCAGCACGTCACTGTACTGAATACCGCAGGCAACTGTAACACAGCGGTAAGTAGTTGTGTATCTAAACATGTCTAAGCATAGAAAAGGCACAGTAAAATATGGTATAAAAGATAGAAAATGGTACACCTGTGTAAGGCACTCAGGATGAACGCAGCCTGCAGGACTGGACGTGCTCTGGGGGAGTTGGTGAGTGAGTGGGGAGTGACTGTGGCGGCCGAGGACATCCCTGTCCACCGCTGGAGACTTTATAAACACTGCCCACAAGCCCTCCCCCTGCCTCCTTCTGACAGGGTCAGAAATAGGACATGGAAGCTGTCAGCGCTGCACCAGGAACAGGGATGTGGGGTGGGCTGACTGGAATTATTGAGGAGGAATTGAGGCATCGATGACCATAACAGTGACTGTCAGGAGGGAGGGAAAGGTGGCCTGAGGATCAGTAGCAATAAGAAATCAAGATGGAGAGAGAAAGGGACACAGGGATTGTCATGCAATGTGGTTTTGGCTATCGCATGCTGGAGCAGTGGTCAGATTAAGGAACTCAGTGGTATTCATTTAAAAAAAAGAGGGTGTTTTACATGGAGAGGGTGTAGAACTGAGGGCTCAATATTTGATTGTGGAAATTTGTTTTTGGTTTCATTGACCCTCTTTAGCATAGAAGGCTCTCTCTGGCATTGAATTGGTGGAAGACATAAAACTCACCTGTGCTTTACATCCTTACAACCTGCAGATATTTCCCAAGTACAGGGACAGGCTGGCTTCATGCTACCACAGAAAGCTTTTACTAAAGTGGCCGTGGCACTTAATACGTGTTAAGCGAGCTTCTGTGGACCTGGTCCTTGTGCAGGATCTTAGGTCCTCGACAAGGAATGTACAGCAGTGCGCTCTGAAGACCATCAAGCTAGATCTGGGGGGGCTGTGGCACCCTCTGAATACATAGCGCTGGGGGACAGAGCTGAACAGGTCCGTGGCTGACTGACTGAGATGTCATCTGTGCACTCAGAATTGAGGTGCTGTGAGCAACAGGGAACCTACTGCCAAAACCCCACAGGTATTGCTCCCGTCAGAACCACATATCCTTCCGTTTCTCACGGGAAATTCATCTCCATTATAATCTTATGGGATCACCATAGCATATGCGGTCTGCTGTTGACCGAAACATTATGTGGTGCATGACTAATACGGTGAGTTTTGATAAGCAGTATGACTGCTTCCACAATCATGAGAACACTTCCATCCAGAAAGTTCTCGAGTGTTCCTTTACAATCAGTCCTCTCCTTCCTTACCTCTTGCAACTGCTCTGCTTTCTATCACTACAGATTTATGTAAACTTGATGGAATTTCAGATAAATGCAATCAGTATATTTTGTGTCTAGTTTCTGTTACTCAACATAACGCTTCGGAGATTCACTCATGTTGTTGCGTACATCCACAGCTGCTTTTGTAAGGTTAAATTTTTCATTTTGAAGTATTTGTAGACTCACATGAATT